GGGTGGCGAGTGTCTCTTTGCATCGACTGTGACGTCTGGACTCTTTGGTCGGACTGGGAAAAAAAGTAATTATAAAAAAGGAAGTTAAAAAAATGTAAGTAGCCATATGTGTATATATGGCTACTTACATTTAGCTGGAGAGAGCTCGCGCTCGTGTTACTGGAAGGCAACCAGTGCAACGTGTACTGTGGAGGTGGATGCGACGATGCTCGGGGGAAACAGCCAGCCTCCAACCGACGGCCAGGAAGAAGTAAAGATGAAATGGGGACCGCGTCCGAAAGATCCCTCTTTGTACGAGGCTCTTGAGACAGGGGAGCAGAAGAAAGGGAGAAGACTGCTGCACGGCTGGGCGTGGCAGTCTTCTCCCTTCGCCGTTTCCGCATACTTATCCTTTCTTCTCTCATCGATTGGAATGAAGTTTCAGCCTAACTGCAAAAAAAGGCCATCGTGAAAAATGAATTCTAACGCAAGGGAAGGCTGGGATACCAGCAAGAGCTCTCGTCGATTTTCATCATCCAACATATTCTTAATCCTTGCTCATAGGCTCGCCATCAGGACAGGGCAGAGGTTCGTCGGTCATGAGTCGTCGTTTTATTTGTTTATTGATTTTTACCATATCCTGAGTTAAGCTTTGGTTTTTGGTGTACCCCACGGGAAGTCTCGCTTCGATCAGTGCCGTTCAATGCGAATCTCCCTCCTCCCGCAGTTGGCCCATTACGTGGAGGAGGAGCTGCTGGGGAAGCAGGTGAGGCAGATCCGTGGCCTGAGCGGGCACGTGAGGGCCTTCGGCGACCTGTTGGCCAGCCCCTCGCAGATCGACGGAGTCGCCACCTTCCACTACGACCGGGTCCTCGCCGGATCTCGCTCCTGATCCTTCCGGATTCTTTCGTGTTTGTGTGTGTGTGTCGGTTCCGATGGAAATAAGAAGGCGTTTCGACTGGAGTAGCCAAAATAGGCTCATCTTGGTTTATTATGAATATTGAGCAAAAACACTTATAAATTCTTCCGGTGCAACGATGGAATTACGCGTCGGAACCAGGGCCTTGAACCGACTCGAGCCTAAAACCGTATGAAAACGGGAAGGGGCGGAGGGAATCCGAATCGGAATCGGGGCCCCGACCCTAGCGAGATTTTTTCCTACCAAAAATACTTTCTTTCTCTGCACGAAAAGTCAAACGATATGCAGATTTCATGTTTGGCACTGCAAATAAATGTCAGATGCTTAAAAAAAAATTACTTTAGCTTAATCTGGAACATGGCATGGTCGACGTTGCGGGAAGAATATGCTTTCATCTACATTTTCCAACAGATAAATGAGAAACGGTTTTACAGGAACTGCACCAAAATTTGGAGTAAAGTGAGAGGAAAGGATATCAGCTGAAGCCGGTCCATCGTTTTATCTGCTCCAAAGCCCTGGTTGGAACTATTCCATAGAGAGAGAAAAAAAAATCAAATAGCGTACTCCTGTTTTAGCACAACAAAACGAGGCACAGTTTCTACTTCTCTGTCGACTGAGTTCGATATTCACAGTTAGACGATCCCAATTGAGATGAGCTCCATTCATAACCCCATCTGGAATGGGGAAAACACAGACAAATGGCAAATGCCGAATTCCCAACGATCCCAACCGACAACATATTTCACACCCAAAGAAGCATTTCGGCACAAAGGATTCATCGACGAGAAGATCCCGGCCGTGAGAAAAGAGGGAATGGTTCGACTCGAAGACGGAGCAAGAGCGCAGGAGTCTTCGAGACATTCAGAACATCGCAGCGATGAAAATTTAGAATACATGCTTTCACATTCAACAAATGGGGGGGAATGGGCAGAAGTATCTATGTACAGAGTATGGCAAAGGCTGCAGCATTGCGATGCGGCACAGTGCACCCATGAGGGTTCCGCTGGGGAAGAAAACGCCGAAACGAGAGAGGCACTTGAATCAACTCGAGACATGCACTCGGCACGCAACACTTCGACCTAGCTTAAAACGCGAACATTCGGGGGGGGTCAACGAGGGGTAAAAAGCAACTTTGGCAGTCTTTCCTGAACTGGAAAGTACATGCTTCCCAGCGAGTTTCGTGCCTAGATGCTTCACACTGAGGAGTGAAAACTGTAATGCACTAGTCAAATCAACTACCCATGTCAAAGTACTACAGAAACCTAGCTTACCTTATGTGAAACCATTGAGCAAATCTCCGGCCAGACAACAATAATACAGCTAACAGTGAATAGGTTTCTACTTTTGGTACATATAAACAACATGTTCAATTGTATGAAACATCCATGGAACAAAAATGCGACATTTTATGCATTATGACCCTTTGGTGAAACTGTAATCTAGCACATGGAGCTTCTGAAATAAAGGAACTGTATGTAATTTTGCCTATCAACTTTAAACACGGGTCAAGGGGTGATGGCACTCACAAACTGCAGATAAACCTGTTGAGAAGCTCATCTCTATGGGAACAATGGGCACATGTGGTTCAGGAAAATTATTCAACAAAAGGCTATTTCTGATAAGCTCGATACAAAGTTTGCTTTGAATTCGTTAGACTCTGAATTACAAATGTCAGGCATTGGATATTGGGAAAATTTCCCATTGGATCTGCAGGTACAGGTCAAGGCACAGACAGACAAACAAGAAAAAAAAGCATCAAAATTATTTTCCGCTTAATATGACAACTTCAATGCAAACTTGGTAACTGCAACAAATGCACAAAATATATTAGATACATTAGAAGCAGAAAATGAGATCAGAAATATGTGGCTGGAGGTCCTCTCAGAGGTAGCTTACATGCTGATTTGCTGTGGAATTGCTATGAGAGATCACCCCCAAAAAAAAAAAAGGATTGCCACAAACTACAGGAACTAACTATCTGGGTGATGGCTGCAGAGGATTTGGACAAGGACAAAGTGTGGAAGATAATGTAATAATGTGAAATGCTTGGGTTTCTTTGGATCAAGCCTGGATGAACCAGGGCAATTCATGCAGGGACTGACATTTCTTTGACACTAACTTCTTGTATTCCAGTGTAAGGATTAACTCCTCTGTATCACTATTCCTAGCATTTCTATCAACTCGGACGGGGTAACCCACACAACCATCTCCCATGTTCTGAAAAGCAAGACCATGTTCCTCGAAGATAACAAATATAAAACCAATGTTTAAGAGTAAAACATTACAAGAACAACTCTGAAGGAGGGAACCACAGGTAGACCAAGTGATCAGTACAAAAATTACAGCTAAGTCCAAAAAGCATGGACATGATGCTGAATTTGAAACCTAGATTTCTCTGGCATCAAGGACCCTTCAAACGTCTGAAAGTGAACAGAAGTGTGTCAAAATCCATCTTAGCTGGTGGGTAATAGCCACATGAAGAATGCTGTAGTGGAAGTGCACTTGCTGGCATGTTCATAGGATCATATTCTTCCATAGCATCTGTTTTTGAAAGACAATGATAATTTAATGTCACCTTTATAGTAATGTGATACAAGTTACACAAGATATGGAGAGGTGAGCATGACCAGCAAGCTCAGAGGTCTTACCTAGATCTGCATAGGATTTTCCACAGAATTCTCTCCTTCCCCCAAAAGTGATGTCATATCTTGGTAATGTTGGATCATCATTGCCATGTTCGATGGCAGCAACGGCATCACGGCAATGACAGAAAGTCACAAAGCCATAATTATCCCTGGGAAGACCAGAAGAACACAGTTGGTATCTCATTATGACTCAGCAAAGGGAGAAACCTGTTATATAGCTGACTAGAGGTCTGAAGTTTAAAAGTAGATTTGGGCTTCAATAACTCTAATTACACTATTTTCCATTTTCACCTTTCTCTTGTATCAATCAGCATTGTCAGTCTAAACAGTTTTGCTCTAGAGAAACAGCCACTCTTCTTTCAAATACCAAAAAAAAACAGCAACCATCAGCAAAAGAAAAAAACTAGTCATTTGACTAGTTCTCAAAACCAAGACTGAAGAGGCTCACCCATAATCTCGGAAGTGAATGCTGACATCCTCAATGGGACCGAAGACAGCAAATCGCTCTCTCAGTTCAGAGCGTGTTAAGCCATCTCTAACTCCACCCACGTAGATGACCCTTCGCTCCTCAACCCTTCCATATGTTTTCCTGTCAATGTTTCCATGGCCCCAAAGGGATAAGTTTTCTGATTGCTTGATAAGAAGAGTAGTGCATGAACTTTGTTTTAAGAGAATGCTCAGGAAATTCATGGTTAGCAGGAAAATGCCTTATATTGAAGATGAAAGGAACAAGAAGACATAACCAAGAGAGAATGTCTTTCACTTCTAGGTGTAGTTGTCACAAAAACCAGCAAGCACATCATCAACCATGCACATGAAGCAACAGGAACCCATGCACCACATACATGCAGCAACATTGCCATTGAGTCTGCTATATTATGGTTTTACCCTCCCAAAAAAAGAGCCAAACACAAATTTAGGTACCAGAAACACCAGGAGAGGATTCACTAGATGATTCCCACCAACCAAGGATAAAAAGGATAATAAAAAGCATTCGTTTGGGAGCTGTTAAACAAAAGACATGTTTAATTGTGGAGTTTTCTGGTTGTCACAGCTAGCAAACAATTCAAACAGTTCAGCAAATGCTTCACCACTGGTAGATGATAAAGCAATGCTGATTGAAAGGTCATGCCTTCCTTGGCAAGAAATGTGAATAGTTTTTGATTTTGACCAATGGCATTTCAGGGTGAAAGGCCTCAAATTTGAATTGTGGATCCCCATAAAAAGAATCAAACAGGTCTTCATTTCAGTAGCCATAGCTCTGATACTACTGTTCAGTCTCTCTTAAAGTTCATTTGAAAAGACAACCAGATAATTGCAGGTTCCCAAACGAACTCACATAGGTGTGAACAAAACAGTGCAATGACATCAAGCTTGCATATCCACCATGGTAAGTACTAAAGCCTCTCAGGGCTTTGCATATGCAAACAGCCAGTGACCAAAAGAACATGGATGACTGAAAAGAAACATGAAGTCGTCTGGAAATTGACCGCATTCTTGTGGGAAGGATGAGCAACAGCATTAGAAACAATGCAAGTCCACCAGGCTCAGCAATGCACCAAGCCCATACAATTGCTTAGCAAGTCAGTGAGGGGTCATGTGGAATGTTCACCTTCGGTGACCTTTGTAAGGAGACCGAGATCTAGAAATTGATCTTCTCGGGGACTTTGATCCATATCGAGAACTGCATCTTGAACTATCTGGAGACAGAGATATAGATCTTGACCTTGTTCCATATACAGAATTTGACCTTGAGGAACAACCAGAGTTGGTTCGACTCCTGCAAAGAAATCATGCATCAGGCTTCACCAGACTGAAAAACTTCACAAACACTAACACGAAGAAACACCAGTCCACCCATTGTAAAGAGCACAAGTCTCATCAATACTCACCTTGACCGGGACAAAGAGCGAGAAGATGCTCGCCTGGAATACCTTTTCCTTGCATATCTGGTGATTACAAGAAAAAAATTACAAATTTGACTTGAATTCTTAAAATAGCAGCATACCTAAGTTGAAAAGGTAACCAAATGAAGTTCATGCAAGCAGGTATAATCATAAAAGTATAGCATTTCCAGTCAAATATAAATCCTCCCTCAATCATTGATCTGTTCCAAGGGAGGCATTCATATTTGGATAAATATACTATACAAAATATTATAAGAGATGTGCAAAAAAAATTCCATTAATCCCTTTCAACAGTGCTTCTTAAGAAATGTATACCAAAGTAAAGACAGTAACCCTGATATTGTAAAGAAAATAAAGCTAATTCTTTTTCAGAAGCATCAGTACAACTGCTGCCTCGTGTGAATGTGGCTTGAAGAGGACCTTTCTGGCACATGGCAATAGACATTGTCATGAAAAAATATCACCCATAAGGCATGACCTTGGGGTTCATTTACACACCTGTCACTGGAACGATTGCGAGACCTCGAGCGTGACGGATATGAGCTGCACTCTCTCCTCCTCTTGCAAGGTGATCGAGATCGTGAACGAGAACGAGAGTAAGAACGACGATTATGTCTCCGATGGTGTAACCTGGAGTGGTGTCTCTTTGGACTCCCTGAGTCATTCCTAAGGAGAGGATTTGAAAAGCTTAGTATAACTTGTTGGGAATACTTCATTGTCCTGCACATCTGATTAAATTTGTCAAAACTGGCCTCTGGTAAGATCGAGGTAGGGAGCGCTGACGTGGCAGTTCTCTCTTCACTGCTAAACAATCAGCATTTCTGGCATTTTCATGTTCAGGTGTAATGGACTGGGTTTCCTGCTTCCTGCAGTTGAATGGACAATATTTTCATGATAAATGCATAAGTACACAAAAAAAAAAAACAGATCTTGATCAGCCAACTCACAATTGCAGGGGCTCAGGCTTTGGAGCAACAACTTCCACATTCGATTCATTCTGTGCTGTTGCCCTATTCTTGGCTGGACTAGAATTGTGATCACTCTTAGCACCTGAAGCCTTAATTCCTTTCTGCTTTCTTTCCCTGTACTGCTGCAAATTCAACTTCTTTTTCCCAGATGTGGAGGAACCAGCTGGAAGATTTTCCTTTCCATTTTCCATAAATGAAGAGGAATTTCCAAGCTCTTCCAGTGGGCTTCTAGAGACTTCATTGGAGGCTGGTGGAGTAAGGACAGTATGTATTGGAAAATCTTTCAGGTCATGATCATCTATAAATCCATTTCCCAATTCTTTGGCTTCACATGGGATAGCAGCCACAACTTCCTTCACCAGATCATCTTTGTCAATAGAATCACACAGTGCTTCCATTTCCTTACAGTTGAACACAATGCTGGAGACTGGTACATTCTCCTCTAGTGGCAGATTCTCTTCCTTGACTTCCACTTCAGGGACTTCATTTGCTTGTGAAGTTCTACTACAATCACTCTCACAGGATTCTTTCACTGAAAGAGTACTGTTGATCACTGCAATGGAACTGTTCCCAATAGTGGATATAGGCACCAGCTCAGAAGGTAAATCTTCCACCTCAACTTCAGCCTCTACCATGAGAAAAAAGTCTTCAGCATTATTCACTGTGTTCACTTGAGAACGGGAAGCACTTCCTTCCATGTTCTTCCCAGAGAAAACAAGAGTTTCAGTTCCTATTTCTTGATCAATCACTGATACAACCCCTTGAGACTGTGAAACACTGCCTTCTATGTTCTTGCTAGAAGAAACACAAGCTACAGTTCCCTCCAAAACTTTTCCCATATCATACTGTCCTCCTTCACCAGCATCCAGGATAGCAGTAGATTGATGCAATGAAAGGAATCCATCTGGCACTTGCAAAGTAAGGATATCATTAGCAATAACATGTGGTTCAATTGCTTGTATCCTTTTCTCAAAGGGAGTGAGACTGAAAATAGAAGTTCCATCAAGCTCAGGGAAGTCAGAATATCCAGTAAGCTCCTGCAGTGCTCTAGTGACCTCCACAGTTGCTCGATCTGCGAACTCTCCAGGTGCATGCTGACTGTCATTCATGGCACACATATTCAATTCATTCTCCTCTGGTGGTGTAGGAGGATTCAAGGGCAAATCCAGGTTTTGAATTGCATCCTTGAACATGTCTTCAGAAGAATCCCCCTCTGTAATCAGCTCAACATCAGGAAACACATCTGCCAGTCCCAAAGTAGATTCGATTCCATTCATCACAAATGAGTCATATCCATTCCCCATAAAATCCAGATCACAGGTTAATTTGTCGTCGCCAGGAAAATCAGGCCACGATGGATTTTCACATTGAAGAAGAGCAGACACAAAATCTTCCTCATCGTTTTTCCCCAAAGCACAAAACTGCAATGAAATGGGAATTTGAGGTGAAAAGCTGATATTGACCACATGAATTTCTGCATACTACACTCTGATTCGGCAGTTTCATCTCCAAGCAAAAATGGGACTTAACAATTTTCATTTTCCTCATAATTGACACATGCTATCGACAGAAAAAGATATCTGTACATTTGTATCAAGAGACCACAAGGTGTATTGATGACCTTTAGCTTTGATTTTTTTTCCTGAATATGATCAAAAGTATTTGGATATTGATGCCCATTTGTTCATCTACTATTCATTTGGAATGAAAACCATCTGCAAGAGATGACCAGTATGAAAAATGAATTTAAATGGAAGAGGAGTTTGACATGGTCTTGATGACATGGAGGGACAGTGCTCTACTCCACTACTAACATGAATTCTATTTGTCCATTCTCAATGTCTAACTTCTTTTAAATATATGCTGATAGAATTTCTTCACCTCAACAAACTTGGATGGAATTTTGAGAAACACTTGGAAAAATACTCATGGATGCAAAGTGAAAGTTTCACAGAAATGGCTCCATTGTGAGCAGAGACATTATGCTTAAAAAGTAACGTGTTTCTCTATGAAGCCCAGATTTGCTTTTCTAATAACTTTTTCATATGGCACAGTTTCAACTTGTTGAGGTCTCATTCAAAGGAACAGAGTTTCCCATTTTATCTACACTTTGAATTCTATCATTTGATGCAGTGAGCATTGAAAAAGCTCTGTTGATGTACATGCTACTCATTTCATTATTCACCTTTGTGACACAGCACAACTGACCAGCTGTTTGTCTTGTTTTGTTGCTTATTTGTGGCTAAATTCATTGTGTTTTTTCAGCATTGATTTGAAACTGCCTCAACTCTCAATCCAAGAATGTAGCTATTCCCAAACAGAGAGCAATCAAAGAATGGTACAAGAAGTTCTCTATGACAGGTACAATCTTGTGCAACAAGAGCATTGGTCACTGAATGGTACATGAAGAAGAAGTTGCTGCTACACTGCCACCATCAGCAATCTAGACAAACTCATAAGATGAATAGTTAACACCTTCAGAGAGTTCAAGCCAGATATGCACAAGAACACCATTGCTTCCTACTGCCAAAGGCTGCAAAAGTCCATAAAAATAACAGAGGGAGTGCACTCATTGCACTCAGACAACTTAAAGCCTACATAAAAAAATTATATCTCTCAAAAAAGGGGATGCCTCTCATTTTTATCATGGACTAAAACTTCTGTGCCAATGAAAGAAGTTGGTAGAGGTTCAAGTTTACACCTGCATGTTATGCTGTCAGCCTATCCATGAGCAAAAGTCAGCTAGATCAAGACATGGAGCAAATGGGAAAAGAAAACAGATGCAACCAGAGATCCCTCAATGAAATCAAATCCAGGTGTTACACTTGACTGAATTGAATTTTTCCCCCCCCCAATAATTGTGGTTAACTACATGTGAAATCTGCCTAGTTTAGATACCACTAATATATGTGAAGCTCATGACAAGAGAGACAAGTTAAGTGAGGAAATTTCTCAAAAGATCTGTTGTACAGGCAAATGTGAAATGGCTTTACCATAGAGTTTTGTGACAGGCAAGTAAGGAGAGTTTTTAGTTCTTATAATGCATACAGGATAGCACTAAAAACTTAAAAATCAAGCAAACAGACCTCAGGGTTGGGTTTTTGGTAGGCCTGAGCAGACCCCAGGGATTTCATATGGAGGGGTCTTTCCTTTCTATGCCGTATGACCCTTGTCTTCCCAGCTGTGTCAACTTGAGAACGAAACAGACACACAAATGCATTTCACAGGACTGAAGATAATATGCTAGGTGCAAAAGAAAAGCATCCTGTAATAAGCTTTATACGATCTACTATACGACTTTCCCCTTTTTTTCAAACAGAAAAACATAATAAAATTTGTTTTATGAAAGTTTTGAAGTCTCCAGGTTGCTTTAGTGAAGAGCAATAATAGATTAAACTTTGATAAATTGATAAGTGTCATCATGTCATACCTTTCAAAGGGAAGGTCAATGTATAAAGGGGTCTTTTAAAAGAACAATTGGAGAGGGAAGATTCCACAGACCAGAGTACACAAATTAACAGGAAACTCTCACATTATCTTCCCTCTCCAGTCCTCATTCTCTAAACACACCATCAAAATCAAACCTAACCATGTCAGCTACAGCCTAAAGACACTACACAAACAAGATTATGACAAGGCCACACCATAAAAACAGGCTGCATGGTGTTAAAGGAGAGAAATATTTTGAGCATTACGGAAACTGCTTCCACTTCATGTATGATAAAGTTCCATTTCATGAATGAACTTTGAATGGCTGTCACTTTTTACCTAGACAACTTGGACACTAGAAACCTTCAAGAAACAAATTTTGTAGTGCTTCCAATGTGATACAAAAAATTACAAACCTAGGATTTCAACAGTCTGTTTCATAAGGCATCAAACAGGACACTTCCTTTTGCACCACCCAATATATATCAGCATAATGATCCATTACTTACCTCGAGGCTGCTGAGCTGAAGCTGCTGCATGTGACTTGTTGAGAATAGACACCATGCGTGGTTGGTTTTGCATAGATGCAAAGGTCTGCTTGCCACCATACAATAAGGTTTTGTTGTTTGGAGCATCTGTAACAACATCAATGATGTTGGCATACATTTAAGCAAATTTCATACCCTTAGATTCACTGGGAAAAAAACTCTCCCTTAACCCTTTCTGGTCTATTTTATTTGTAATGCTATGGGGATTGTCAGTCTAGGTCTAGACTCGGACCACAAAGGGTTAAATGTTATGGTCAGGTATGTAAATTGATGAGGGCAAATGTATATGCCTCCGTTAAAATGCAATGTAATACTTTGTTGAGTATATGCAACAAATATATTCTTCAACTCTCTACAACAAATCTATAAACAGACCCTGGGCTGCCATGCCATCCATAAAGTCTCTCTTCCAATCCCTGACCTGGCTGTTGCTGCTGTGCCTCAAATCTTGCTGTGCTGATTTGATTTGAACACAGCAAGATTCAAGGCACAGTATTGCTTCTACAATATTCAGTTATGTGTCTCCAAATCTCTGTGAGACACTGACATTTTTGAACTGCAGATTCAATTTTATTGGATTTAGAGCTAAGCAAGACTCTTCTTCTATGCAAAGGGATCAGATTCTTATGGTCACAATTGAAATGAATCCATCATAATGGTGAATTTTTTATTCTACTAGTGGGCCTACTTCCTTCATTTGCAACAGTGGGCACATGTAGATATGATCAGAATGGAAGGTGGTTCAAATTTACTCTCCATTACTTGGAGATTATCTTTTGAATCTGGTTTGCATGAGTAAACAAATATAGTTGTCTCTAATATGATGTGATTTCCAAGCATAATATGCAGCAATTTGCATTAATTTTCACATAATGCTTTACATAATTTTGAAAATGAAAAGGGACAGCCAATGCCAGAGTAATGCACTGTTATCACTCATGGCATTCCCATGTGTCTATCATTTACAGCTTGGAGAAAGCGAATCAGAACATCAAAATAAAGTATGGGTAGACTAGGTCAGCAACTTATTGGCATTATGCACACAACAGTTCTGCTTCAAAATCATATCATAATGAAACTCACGCATTGTTAGTTTCCTATTGGGCTTCTTTTCCCATCCCTTGGCAGCAGATCCTGGAAAAGCAGATATCAATACATGACAATGACCTTTTCTCTTCATCAAATAAAGTCTACCAAAACTCAACAGGAGATAGCTACTAACTTTGTTGCAGTGCATGACGAGGAGAAATCACCCACAGGCTGTTGCCGGACTGGGAAACAATGACAATTGAATCTGAATCCACTGGAGCAGACCGGGCAGCCTTCACAGGTGTGCAAGGTGCAGCTTCTACTGGTCTAGCAGTGGGGCTCTTCATCTCTGTTTCCAGCCCAAAATCAAAGGGGCTGTTCTCAGCTGACTGCAATCAGATAAATAGTAAACAAAATGAGTGGATGAGTCATCTCCCTAAAAGCAGGACATACACAATGATGGGTCTAATTCCAAATCACAGCATGCATGAAGCCTGGGGTCAACCAGGGTATGGCTATAAAAATTCATCAAAAATTTTACTTCACCACTTTAGACAAAACCAGACCTTTTGCTCACATGTTCATGGTGACCTTCAGTTACAAAGCTTGACTGATATTTGAACCATAAATACTAGCAACAACAAAAAAATCAAATGAACTTAAAGAAACAATGGGGTTCTATAAGTGTGATGCAAAAAAAAAACTGACTCAGAAATCCAAGAGTAAAATGTTGCAGTTGTGGAAATAATATAAAAGGGGACTGTCACACTTGCTTCCTTGTCACACTTACTTTGTTGACGCTATTTCACACTGATTAGGCCCCTTGTTTATTCAATTTAGGGGTATTGTGGGTCATCAACCTAGTATTAAACTTTACCTGAAATAGATGAAGACCCAAATTCTCCTCCCATTCTGGCATGCTTTCACTGGTGAGGTTTTCTTTGTCAAGTTTACTGATGTCTTCCATTGACAGCATTGTGGCTTCCTATTAATTGAACCAAACAGAAGAAAGAAAGATTGTGATGCAAAAATTTTTTCCAGCCAATGTGATTGCAAATGTAAGATATACAGCTACTGGGCCAATTAGGCAAACTGAACTCAAGGTGTGCCTATTCAGTCAAAACTACATGCAAAAAATAAAAAATTTCAATAAAACCTTCATTTACAGTTACTAAAATGTGAAAGAGTTCTTGACAGTACTTGGCTTCCCATATCTCCTTGAGATGATTCCAAGTTATTCAAACCCTGCTCAAGTTTACACATGCACCTAAATGAAGCACTAACAGGAGATTTTTCACTTCCTCCAACAATAAAAAACACAATTGCATAGAAACAAAGCCAAAAAATATGAGAACCAACCTGACTCATATGAGGTAAACTGAATTCTACATTTTCATCCATGATATGACACTGATGGTGCATGTCTTTGATCCTACCATTGGAGTTATATTTAGAAACACTTGATGAAAAAGATGCCTTCATTGCATCTAGAAACCTCCTCAGAATCAACAGGCCTGGGGTGAAGAGGCCTCTTCAGTTCCTCCACCTAGAAAGTAAAGTTCAAGAAAAGCCTGGCCATTTAGAGGAATACATATATTTGCAATGAACATTCAAACTAGGCAAACAAGCAATAGCTCCTCATCACTGTCCTAGCATACTTCACTAAGTGCAAATACCGACCAGCCTGGATATACTGATATGCTTATATTAGCATCACCCAGCATGAACATATTGACGGATAGTATTCAAACTGATTTATGTCTAGTTTTTGTCAGCTCAGAGAACTTCCACTACATTACCCCAGGCCTTAATCCACACAAGCCATTGATTCTGAGGGGTTTGCACAAGCCATTCATCAGGGTCAACAGGACCAATAAAAATGAAAGTGTCTTCTCTAAACTTGCAAATGCAAGAGACCATCCCACATCTATAAGTCTTGCTGGTCAATACAGCCAATATCTTGGTCTCAAGAAATGACATGGCACAACCCTCATGAATTTTGGCTTTTCCAGGCCTCCTTCTACATCTCCCCCTCAAGACTATATCAAGAACCCCTCACTCAAAAATACTGACTGTTCTGCCCATTGTCCTGCACCTTACAGGTGACCTCAATTCTCATAGAAGGGCATAATGACCACAAGAGAATATCCAGTTCCCTTTAGTAACAGGCCATTTAAAAATCAGAAATCTCTTTTCCCCATAGATTTTTGTCAACCGACCAAATCTGACTTATAGGGACAGCTCAAAAACTATAATAAATCCAACCTAATAACCTTTTTACTCGCACATAAAACCTACTGAAAGTGTAGCTTTGATCAAGATCTAATCTGAGCCATGAATCTGAACTTCCTCTAATTTCCACAGTTGATGCAAAGTCTGAAGGGTTTTATAACAAACCATTCAAGTCACTAGAAATTGAATGAAAGGAAAAGTAAATGGGTATGGAATGATGGGACCAAGGTAAATCAGATGTCAATGCCTCAAGTATCCTGATCAGAAACCCTAGGATTTTTCAAATGAGTATCCCACATTGAAAAGACCATTAGAAATTGTCCTGAGAGCAATTTTTAATAACAAAGACTACATTTTGTTCCTTAGGCAATGCCAAGTGCTGCTGTGCAGTTGGTGAAGACAGGACTAAAGCACATTTCAGTTGAGCTCAACACTTTCTCATTAGAGTAAATCAGAATTTAGATTTACAATAAAAATAACTGTCTGAATGGGGCAATTAAGCAAGGAGAATTTCAGCCTGCTTTGAAAATGGAGTCAAGAGAAAAATGTCTACTTTGATGGAAAACCACTGCAAGTCACATTTATGCATGATAATGGTCATATTAAGCAGGGGCTATATCTTATAAATGCATCTTCACAAGTCAAAAGCCGATGCATGACTTTGAAGTACACATTTAAATGGGAAAAAACAAGCAAAGAGAAAATGGCATCAAATAAAAATCTGCAGTATGCACCAAAATCCTTCGGGTATGCCAGTCATAAAGCAAGCATTGTCATTGGCCTTTATCCCAGGCATGGGCTTATAGTCAACAGGTCCATCTTCCGTAATTAGGTCTCTCCTTGGGTGGGGAGGCCACGAACATTTCGAATTATTACATCTTGAGAACTTCTAGAACGCGGAGACACACCAAAAGAAATGCACGATGGCTCCAAGCCGAGTCTGCCACACTTCCGGAAAATGTGCTCCACGCCTAACGTTAAGCTTCTAGGATTCAATGTTTCGATGGCACAAAAACTCTACGTTACCTTTGCGGGATCGAAGAGTCATAGTTATGGTAAGGCAAAGTCCTAGAACTTCAATCGTTGCCTGCAATAAACAAGCCTGATGTCTAAGCCTAACGGTATTAGTTGCATGCTTCACAGTCACGCTGCCGGCTTGTTCACGTGGCCACCATTTGCCGCCATTTTGCTGTCTACCTCGGCGCATGACGTCATCAGTTCCGTGAAAGGGGGATGTGTCGTAATCGAGGGCAAGTGCAACCCAGATATTTTTTTCCCTAGTATTGGATACCTTCTTATCGAGCCGTATCGGAAAGCGAAAAAGGCCGAAAATAGCAAGGGTGCGTCTGAAAAACCTATGCCTGACGCTTATCCCTGAAGAAACGGGAGCACTTCCAGTGTCTCGATCACGCTTGGGTCTGAAATCTCGGTGACACCGCCTCACTTGGCAATGCGCCCACGAACGAATGAAAGTACGGAGCTTGGGGGGGGGAACCACGATCAGAGTGGCCTTCGTCTCACAGTTCTGTTTAATCGCGATTCTTTCGTATCGTGGATCGGGTGAGCACGCCACGTTGCTTTCGAGCCCGTGATGACGCGGTGCTCGGGTTGGGCAAGTATTCCACGTCGGAGGGACGTGGAATATGGGAAAATATGCTATGAAGCGTCATGAATTTAATTTTCATACCGATTTGATTAATGTGCCGTTTTACTTTGACCACGAGTGATGGGTACACTGGTGACTCCGCTGGTTCGCCTCGTCTGTTTTTCTCTTAGAACAGTGTGCCGTGCAGAGTGAGTAAAACAGCCTCTCAGAAGAGACATTCTGGACTGGGGAATTGTTGAACAACATTGGGAGGGGGGGGGGGGGGACTCAGAGATTGTTAATCTAAAAAAAAGTGGAGAAGGAAACTTTGAGGAGGCTAAGCCTTGGAAAAGAATCCGGGGGGGGAATTGGAGCCCTTGAGCCCCTGTAAATCCCCGGCCTCAAATCACGCAATTTCAACAAGCTTCTTCGCGCATGCAGATCGAACATCGAGATATCAGATCGGAGCGAATGCGGCAGGCGGTAATGGGATCTCCCGTGCCGGCTCAGGCAATCATCGAGGGGGGGTCGAGCCTCCCGCTGGCAGTCACGCGACGCGGGCGACATCTGCGGGATGGCGGGGCGACTGTGGGGGGAATGCCGGAAGGTGCGTGAGGTTTCGTGCATGGTCCTTTTAAATACTATGAGAATATATGCCCTCAGGCTTATTTGGAAGACCGAATAGAGCGTGCTTCTCTCGACTTCCTGTGAATCGAGGAGGTGGGGTGGGATGGGGAACTTTTCGTGAAAGTCGTCAACTCACGCGCTGATGATTTTTCCAGCAAAAATAGAGGAATGCTCAAATGTGACCCATTAACAAACATAATAGCACAAGAGTGCCGCATTATGTATTTACACGGATTTTTAAAATGGCACCAATCATTTCTTCCCCGAGAAACATGTCTCCTGTCTGAGTCTGTTTTTGTATTTTACTTTGTATCCATTTGTTAAAACCCCGCTCCTTCTTCGAGGAGAATTTGTTCTGTCGTTAGGCCCATCCGCTAAAACCCACAACATGCAGGCATTTCTTCCAAATCAATCTCGATTCTCGTCTCTATCTCGCGAACATTCACTTGCGAAACCGAATTTTTCTTCGGACTATTGCGAATTTTTTTTTCTTCTCCCCGAGACGTTAGCGAAATCAACAAAATCAACGCGTTGGTTGCCAAGGTCCCTTTCCCTTTGCGTTAGAAATAAAACGAACGGACCGTACATGTGACCCCCGTGCAATCCGACGCGACACTGGAAGATTGGCGCGAGAAGGGGATGCAGGGTTGCCAGACGTCCAGAGAAAAATAATAATCATAAATATACCTTATAGTATACACAGGTAATATTGTATTTTTCGTTCATAGGATTATAATATATACCACATGGATATGAATGCAGGGCGACTCCCTAAATTGCTTCCGAGTTTGCTTCTACAAATTTCTCTGCAGAAACATCGAAAGAACGAATCGGTAGCCGCAGCCATATATTTTTTTAATTATCAATTAATCACGATTGAATGAGCTCGTTTAACATTTAGATTTACTCGATGGAAATTCTTGAGACGAGCTTTAAAAAAAAAGTGAAAATATGCGAAACTTCGTGATCCGGCAACCCTGGGTAGGGAAAAAAAATTTCATCGATTTTCTTTTCTCCGCATGTGACAATTTTCCTTCGCAAGCGAAAAATTTACCTTCCTGGGGAATCACTTCGATCGGCTTCCGTTCCTCGAGGAATTTGCTTATTTAAAATTTCGATGGGATTTTGGAGTCAATTCTCGTGACGTCATAACAGGAATAGACCTGAGCTAATGACATAAAATGTGTACGAAATATGAGAAAAAAGGCTCTTTTAGTGGAAAAATAAAAATCTTAAATAAAAAAGGGGAGAAAAAACATGGATTGAGCTGCAAGCTGGAAGTCCTGACCTCGGTTTCCCAGCGGTTAACCGAGATTTCACTTGAAGATGAAATGCGATCTGGCTCGGTCGACGTCACTTCAAGGAGACCGAGAAATTCCATCACCTAAGAGATTATTCAGGCTGGTTGTTGGGAAAAATTTTTATATTTTCTGTTTTCCGTGCTTCAATAAGAAATTTTTTGGAAAATAAGGGGGGGGAATTAAGTTTACTCGGAATTTTTCACTTCCGAAAAAACTTAAATTTTCAACGCCCAATAGCTTTTTTTTTATCGCACTATTTCGCACGTTTCCCAAAGACACTATATATATATTTCTTATTTTATTTCTGAATTCCAAATGCCGTCATGGTTTTTTTTCGGAAAATAATAATATTTCAATTTAAGTTCTGTGTGAAGTCGAAGGGGGTTCATTCTATTACCAGGGAAGACCGAATGTTGAAATTTATGGTTGCTGATGAGGTTCAATTTATAAATAGGCCTATATAAATAAATAAAAAAAACTATTGCAAGAACAAAATGTGGGGATTGCCCTGGGACAGCAGTGAAATAGAAAATGTCCCACCTTCCCCTTCCCCTTACCCATCCCCCCCCTCTCTCCTGCTACTTGCAGGCACTAGTTCCGTCTTCCGCTTTGTCCGAAGGTCACATGAACTCCTTGCGTCAGATTGCGTTAGATTTCGTCGCTTTCATCGCTTGCAAGAGAGGAAGGCAACATAAAGGGGGGGAAAGGGACTCGCAGCGATGGAAGGCAGTGAGGTCTCTCTCTCCCGTTCAGCGAGGGTTGAGTCGTGCTAGGTCGCTGCTTGAGGAAAAGTGCGAGGCTCTTTCCAAG